GGGGGGACCAAAGATTTGAGGAGGGGGTTCTGAGGGTCAAGGATCTGGGGAGAGGGTGCAGGGGAGGGGCTAAGGATTTGGGGAGACGGTTCTGGGGGGACGAGGATTTGGGGAGGGGGTGCTGAGGGGAGCGGGAGAGCAAGGGTCAGTGGGGAATGTTAGAGAAGCAGGCGCTGGCAGAGGCACTGGGGGACCAGGCATTTGAGGAGGGGGTGATGGGTGTTTGGGGGGTGCAGGGCTTTCTGCCCCCTGCCCTGGGCCGGAGGAGCAGCCCGGTCTCCCCTCCGAGGGGTGCCGGCAGCCCTGGGTGCTGCCTGCCCTCCTCCCCTCTCGCCCAGGAGCCATGTGCACGTCCAGGCTCTTCACCCTGGTCCTGGTGGTGCAGCCGCCCCGCGTCCTCCTGGGCATGAAGAAACGTGGGTTTGGAGCCGGGCTGTGGAACGGCTTTGGGGGCAAGGTGCAGCCGGGGGAGAGCATCGAGGAAGCCGCTCGCAGGTGAGGCCTGGCCCGGCTGGGAGAGGTGGGAATTGGGGCACAGGGTGGGTGGTGGAGGCGTTGGACTATTTGTGGTGGGCTGCAGGTGGAGTCACCGAGGCTTGGCCCATCAGTAACGCCCTCGTAACCAGCGCGTTACCTGCCAGTGCAGTCATGAGCCATCTCTGGACAGAGAAAATCGTCTGCTCCACAGGTGATGGAGGGTCGGCCACACGTACAAAGAAACAGGATTGCTCCCCGTTGCCTGTCACCTGCAGATCTGTAACTGTCATCCAGTCTACGAGTAACGGGAAGGTACCGAGTGTCCTCCCTCCCACCTCTCGACTCTGATCTAAACTGAGACTCAGCCTGGTCGTGGTGGGCAGAGGTTCTTGCACTGTTCAGAAAGGCAGTTTAATTTTGACTATATAGTAGAATTACAGCTTATGCCAGTGTACTGCTTATTGTTTACATTTTGAAGCTATTGAGCAGGTGCTACCTTCCAGTAGCGTTTTTAGTATTGCATGAAAACATAGGGACAAAATATTAGAAAATCTCAGAGGTCTCTTATGAAAGGCACTGTAGAAATTTATTATTTGACTGCATGGCGGCATTTTTAAGCCCTAATGCTGAGGTAGGGAATTTAATTCCATTGGTACAGAGGTACAGTACCATTTTTGAAGTTTTTAGTACTGATTTCTTGAAGTTCTTTCTTCTGTCATCAAAATAAAATAGCAGACTGCAGCTGAATGGCTAAACTCCTCTAAAAATTAGGTGCCTCCTTCTTTATGTGAATGCTGCTGATAAAAAGCCACATTTTGCTACCTCCTCACTTTCTGGTATATGCCCAAAATTACACACACACCTGCAGGAAGATCAGTGTTGGTGTGCTCAACAGCTACCCAACAGCTTTTGACCTGAACCGCCTCCTCAGCTGTGGCACTGCAACCGCCTGGGCTCTGTGGTGAGCTACTCCAGGGGACAGAAGGGTCCTCTGCGCAGATGCGCACCCAGCAGTGCACAGCATTAACAGACATGATGCTTTTTGTATAATTTGTAATCTCTGAGTGGAGGGAGATCAGTTTTGTTACTTAAATCGGGTCTCCCTTTGCCAGCCTTACGTTGCCACTGACTGTGGTGTAAATCTAATGATTTAATTCAGCATTTGATTTCCTAGGTGCCCGTTCACCTGTGCTAGCCCAGAGTTAGAAACCGGAGCTTTAGGCTGTACAAGATGTCAAACGATAAAACTTCCAGCGATCCCAGTGCCACGTGCCCCAGCACAGCCAGCGCCCACTGCTCTGGCCTGTGGAACAGTCCAATCCTCAGCCCTTTCGACATAGCTGGTAGGAGTTTACTGTTGAATGACACAACCGATTCCCGCTGAGGTCAACAGCACAGGGCGCAGTCCCCAGAGCCAGGGCCAGCCAGGCACACAGCCCACCTCGCTGGTGGGAACACCACCCGTGCCATGCTGCCTCGGGGTGCAGCTCCCCACCAGGAAGTGTCACACAGTCCCGATCAAATTTAACTTGCACCACCTCCGCTCTGTGCTGGGAGTTTAGGTGTGCCGCTGTAGTTCCATCTTGCACTGTCCCAGCGGGGTTTGCAGCGGCATAAGGTGTGATGTGTCCTCACAGCACAGGTAGTTAAATATTAAGTTGAAACATGAATGAAAGTTTCCTGTATGAGTAAGATTTCTCTGCTCCACTGGGTACGCCACATTGCCGTCACCACCTGGGCACCCATGGCTCTTCAGCAGCACATCTTCTAAGGGGAGCATTTAGCTAGTTCATTACTTCTAGTTTGCTACCTGTAATGTTTCCACTTAATATATACAGAGCCAAACAGCTAACAGACAAATTGCTTAGAGAACCACAGCAGCGTTGTGCTTTGTTGTTCAATTATCACAGCCTGTAAAATGAGGCTTTTAGCTTTGTTGCTGGAAAACCACCTCTATTTTAGACATTGTTTCTCAGGAAGATAAACTAAAATTAGCTAAGAGATTAAGTTGGAATGTAATTTTGAAGTATGGGGTTCATGAAATTGATGCCAAAGGAAGCTGGAGCCTTAAAGACCATTGCCATTACACTTTAAAATTGTTAAGTTACTGCCAGATAGGCATTAATTATTAACCTTAACTGAAGATACACTGTTTCCAAGTATTCCTTAATTTTGTACATTAGAAAAACCATGACTAACTTCAAGCTATGCCGATTCTGTTAGAGGCAGGTAAAAATTAAAAAAGCCTCAAGTGTATAGTGTAAACACAGCAAGTAATTGTATGTGCTTCAAGCAGCTGTGCATGGCGATGCACAGAAAATAGCTGTCTGGCAAGTCTCTCAAAGTGCTCTTAAAAGTCTTGCCTTCTAGCCTCTCGTTATGCTAAATGTACTTCCAAGGAGCAGAACTGGAAAGTTTACACAATTGCTTTGTGTTTTTTATACAGCATTTGAATGGGAGACAGTATTCCTAATGTCCTGTGTTCGAATCATGCTATGCAGTGTTTAGTGTTACTTAAATAAGCTTCAGTTAGCCTCAGAAGCAGCTGATTTTGTAGCAAGTACAGATGTTCTAGTATTTATCAACTGCTACCCCACAATTCTAAAGGCTTAAGCTTGAAGTTGGCAAAGCCTTTGTTTTGCCTAAATGAAGCGTTCTTAAGCCACATCCAGCAAGTGTCATAGGACCATTAGCCCACTTCTAACTAATCTCAGGAAAGATCATCACGTTTGCAAGGAGTGTAAAGTACACTAAACAATCCATTTTCCAGAATCTTCCCTTTCCAACATAGACTATCTTCCTACCAGCCTTTAGGAGCTTGAAATAAGACGCAAGCCAGCCTGACCTGGCTCCGCTGTGGAAAAGTAGGCTAATAGTTTGGTGCAAGCCAGAACTCTGCTTTGCTCTGCAGGCTGTGGCCTGCTCTGTTTTCCAGGGGCAGCTTTCACCTTTGCTTCACTGGAAGTGTTTTCACTGTGCAAGTAAAGCCAATGACTGCTTTTTTATTCTCCCACTGCTCGCTTTCATGTAGAGAAGTCTATTTCTTTTGCAGGGAGCTCCTGGAGGAGAGCGGACTGACTGTGGACACCTTGCAGAAGATGGGCCAGATCACATTTGAATTTGTAGGCAACTCTGAACTCATGGAAGTTCACATTTTCCGGGCAGATAATTTTCATGGAGAGCCAACAGAAAGCGAAGGTAGGTAGCTAGTGGAGGGGAAGGAAGGATGCATATTCTCTTCTGAGACAGTGCTGCTCTTCAGAAACACAGAAGTCTCTTTAGGAAGGGAGGCAGCTGGGCTGTAGAGGGAAGCTGCTTGTTGACAGATACTCCAAGTCTGGGCAGCAAAGAACCAAGAGAAAGTCTCATGCAAAGTTCTTTTGTTTTCTCCCACCAGAAATGCGTCCACAGTGGTTTCAATTGGATGAGGTGCCATTCCATCACATGTGGGCAGATGATATCTATTGGTTTCCCCTGCTGCTTCAGAAAAAGTTGTTTTGTGGCTATTTTAAGTTCCAGGGACAACACACTATCCTGGAGCACACCCTGAAAGAAGTGGAGGAAGTTTAAGAAAACGGAAGCATTCAA